GTATCTAATACCGCAGTTCAAAATATATGAACTTCATATATTTCATTGTATCTGATTTATCACTTTCACGGGTTTATTACGAATCAACTTAACGGCCTGCTCCCAGTTGGCTTGTTAGCTCAATTGGTAGAGCGCTGCATTAGTATCGCAGAGGTCAGTGGTTGGAATCCCGTACAGGCCTGATTTTTTTCAGGTCTGATTTTCGCTATTGCTTAAATAGCGCTATCTACTGCGAGGATCGTGCATCATATGTAGGTGTAGGTTTGTTTTCTAGCTGGGTGATTTCCTTGGTTACCAATCATTTCATACCCATGGTCATTTCACATTCAGTCAATTTGTACCCAGCAGGGAATGAATCGACCAGCAGGTTTGGTTAAAACTGACACAAAGTGGGTACAAATTGACTTACATGTAGTAAGGAATGTTGGCAGACGCTAAACTACTGGATACAGTATTCTTTTGTTTGAGAACAAGATACTTTTGTCAATACGTTTCATAGAAAGTCTCTACCTATGAGTAAAATACAAGACTACCTTGAAATCTTTTACAAAATTCTTGAAATTTCTTGATGGGGGGGAAGGTTATCTGAATGGGACAAGAGTTTCTTCAGGAATAGGTAGCAATCTACACTGCATAAGATCATGATATCTTCAGAGCTTCATTGGAGAGAAGCAATGGGTTCATGTTGTCCCTGCTTAACCAAATAACTGCTGGAGGGAAAAAGAAATCTGATAGGAAACTGCAAGTTTTTTTCTTCCCATTTTCTTCTTTAGCATTGCCGCACTGCCCTTCATATTGCCACTTCAAATGAAACTGAAAACATTGGTGTAGTAGAATTAATTCTGAGGCGTCAAGGTGTAGGGGTTGATGCCCTAGATGAGGTAAGAGGCTGCACAATTGGTAAAATGGAACATATTATGGGTAAATTCAATACCTGATGAGGGAACTCCATGTTAAACTGCATGCGAAAACCAATATTGCAGGAGGTACAAAGCAAAGAGTGTGATATCAGTATTCAAGTGCAGTGTAACACACAAGTTAGGTAATGGATTTTCCTTGAACAGCATAACTGAATTAAAAAAAAAAAGGGTAAAGAAAACAGCAATTATATATTAATTTGTTTTTATCCTGAGGAACTGTTGTTATGTATATGTACCATAGTTATTCGACAATAAGCCAAGACACTAAACTTGTGAGACATGATAATCAGCGAAAGCTTTACGAAAAAAATCAGAAAAATATCGGCTATAAGCCGAGACCACATTCAGAGAATTCTATTCTCGAACAAACTGAAATGATCGCCAAATTTTCAAAACAGAAAAGAGTTTCAATGCAGTATTGCCGTTGAAAACACATTCTGAGATAACCAGAGAGTACAGTCATCAGTGACATCAGTGAGTTGCTAGAGGAAAGATCAAGAGAATCTCTTTAATGGAGAGCTCGAGATGTCAGCGAAACGCACAATGACGGGCTGTTACACTCAGAAATATCCGCGGTTGAATGAGAGATTACTTGATTAGTTTACAGAGCAGAGAATCCAAGATTAGTTTTCTTTTTACGTGATCGCAAATTTCAACACTGTAACATGTGACGATCGACGAGTTTGTTTACCAATCTTGGGAATGGGCAATTCTGATTGGTTGGTTTCGAAATTTTTAAAACACCTTTGCAAGCTCTATACACGCATTCAAAACCTGCAGATCTCTGATACAATAGACGGCATGGAAGATGAACCAACCTACTCTGAATAAACGGCAGAATGAGCGGATGAGGAGGAGATGGACAACGAATTCCACGCCGACACTGTGGACGAACAATAAGCCGTATTTACTACGCGCTGAAAGCAACAAACCGCTCCTTTGGAGGCAACCACACATTTAAAGTCAAAGACCAACTTAAACTTGTTTGGTTATTTACTTCTGCATGCAATTTCTTGGCTTATAGACGAATATATCTATGTTTCCTTTGAATTTGCTGTTTCGAAAAAATTGTGTTCTGAAAAACACTTGGTTATAAGCCAAGAACCCTACTCCGGCTCAAATTTTTGAGATTTTGGTAAAGTTTTGTGAAAAAATCACTCAGCTTATAGTCAAATAACTACGGTAGATGCAAAACTATATCACTTACTATACAATAAATAACCTCATTTTCAACTTGGAATTCCATGGTAAATACATTGCTTCGTTAACCAATCAGAATGCAAGATTTAATTCGATTATGTGATTCTATTCCATGTTGCACAAGGAATTTAGGCTGTATAATTTCAACTAAAGTTGATTCATATTTTTCTTCACTTAATTTTTCTGCTAGGAAGTGAAATACAAAGACTTGAAATAATTTTGAACGAAATTGGATTCAAACCACATCATATAATTTATATGTATTAAATTAATAACATTATTCATATGTGTATTCATTTTATATTTAATTCTCTCCTCTGGCTGCTACACATTTCCATGTAAAGTTTTTACAAGAATTTGGTGGTAGATCAGGATAGCAACTGCCTGATAAGTTTAAGTATTTTCTTACCTGTTTGCTGAATTATGTATGGATATTGTAGGAAAAATTTTCATCTAAAATCACCTGTGGGAGTTGAGGGATTTATTAATCAAGATGACGAACCGTTCAATCTCAAAGAAACACTGGCATCTCATTTCTCCATACTGAATAACCACTCTCGATAGAACATTGAGGTTATGAGTCAGAATAGAGGAAATGGTCACCAACTTAAAAAGCTAAACAAATTCTCTATGTCTGTACCAAGGGAAATGTGTAGAGAATGGTTTGGAGAATATGCATACTGATGTTAGGTGTAAAAGGTTAAATAAAGTAATTCTCACTTCATTTCAGTATGGTAATACTTCATTGAAGCTTGCAGCAGAAAAAGGTCACTGTGAAACTGTGGAGCTACTGATGTCAAAGGGAGCTGATGTGAACAAAGCAGACAAGGTTATTCTAAGCTTAATGTAGTCAATATTTGATAAAATTTTGATTACCAGGAGAAATAAATAATTTTCCCTTGCATTATCAAGGCATTGTCAAACAGTAAGGTTTGGTGAGGAAAAAGAAAAATGTCAACTAAATTATGTAACATGATTTGATTAACTCCTTCTCAGATCTGTAAATTTAAGAAATGCATGGCATGCAATCAAAAAGCATATTTATTTAATTCATTTAATGATAAGGTCCTGCATGTTATTATCCAACAACACTCCGCAGAGTGCAAATAACACCCAAGACCAGTTCAAATATCACATGGTATTTGTACTCTAGAAAACCGTTAGACAGGTTTTCTTGTGTTGCATGAGTGACGAATTGGTTCCCAAAAAAAATGGCGGACAATTTAAATCATTTTTCTGACGACAAAGAGTTGGAATGGCTGGCAAATATTGATCCAAGTGTATTAGATAAATCAAACAAAGAAAAGCAGTTAGACAACAGTGAAATTTCATCATTTACTGGAGAAAATAGAAACAGCAACATGACAATGTGCCAATTCTGTTCCGCTTTGCATACTTTTTTCATGCATTCCACGTAAATAAATAGTATCTGCAAAGTTTGCCCGCATTGAAATAACAATTTGGGATAATAAATAAATTTCATCATTAGTTGTTTTGGTGTGTCGTATTACTGAGTATTTTTACTCGTAATTTGTATTTTGACTCACCCTATGGGCTTGTCAAAATACAGCACAACTTGTAAAAATGCTCGGTGATAATACACAGCAAAACTTATAATAAGATATATATATATATTCTATTCTGTCTTGCTGTTCTGTTCTGCTGGAAGCATTATGCAGCCACACAAAACTAGCAACCTTACAGAATCTAGAGTATTGGTACCTTTCTGTATTAATTTTGTTTTGTGGCAATTGTAGAAAATAATGGTGGAAGACGAAACATTAAAACCCAGGAAGAATCAAATCTCAAACCTTCAGATGCTCTATCAGTGAGTTACAGAGAACTCAGATTGAGAGTTAGGCTGTAATGCCAATTCAAATGTGACATGTACCCTTCATGCTGCCACCATGTTCATAGGCATGTCACTTTGAAAATAGAAATTTTAAAAATACATTTACTCTTTTGAATTCGTGGACAACCATTTTGCATTTTTAGGTTGACAATACCCCTCTCCATGTTGCTGTGAAAAATGGCCATGATGAAGTATTGGAAAAGTTGCTTAAAAAAGCAGCTAAGAGCACCATTGGAAAACAAACCAAAGTATGTTTACTAAATTTTAATAACCCTTTTGCATATAAGCTACAAGCTAATTCATGCTTAGGGCAAATTT